ACTTTTCACTTTGTTGGTAATTTCTTTTGACATGCAAAAACTTCTCAGTAAGAGCAGATCCCAGTTGTTAATTCTTTCAAATGTTTCCCAAGCGATTTGATGTTTGTTCATGAAGTCTTTGCCTACCCCTATGTCTTGAAGAGTTCCTCCTACTTTCTCCTCCAGGAGATTTAGTGTCTCTGCTTTAATGTTTAGATCTTTCATCCATTTTGACTTTAGTTTAGTGCATGGTGATAGACCTGGCTCAAGTTTTAGTTCTCGGCATGTAGAGAGCCAGTGTTTCCAGCACCATTTGTTAAAGAGGCTATCTTTCTTCCAGTAAGTGTGTTTCTCCCTTTGTCAAAGATAAGGTCGCTGAGTGTGTTCTTAGGGTATTCAGCATCTTCTAATCTATTCCATTGATCCTGAGGTCTATTTTGTTGCCAGTAGCATGCTGATTTTATCACAGTAGCCTTGTAGTATAATTTCAAGTCAGGAATTGTAATGCCTCCTGCCTTGTTTTTATTGCCCACAATTGCCTTTGGTATTCTAGGTATTTTCCGGTTCGAAATAAATTTTAGGAATGATTTTTCTAGCTCTGTGAGATATGTCGGTGGTAGTCTGACAGGGATTATGTTAAATCTGTACAGCAATTTTGGTGGTATGGCCATCTTCACAATGTTGGTTGTTCCTATCCAGGAGCATGGACTATCTTTCCATTTTCTGAAGTCCTCTACGATCTCTTTTTTAAGTGTACTGTAATTTTCCTTCAAAAGATCTTTGACTTCTTTAGTTAGATTCATTCCAAAGTATTTCATTTTCCTTGGTGCTATTGTAAAAAGTATTTTTTCTATAATTTCCCTCTCAGTGTGTTTGCTATCTGTGTAGAGGAATGCTATTGACTTTTGAGTATTGACTTTATAACCTACTGAATTTCTGTATTAATTCTAGTAGCTTCTTGGTGGAGTTTTCTGGGTCAACTAAGTAAAGTATGTCATCTGCAAATAATAATAATTTAACTTCTTCTTCTTCCTTTTGTATCTTTCTCTGTCTAATGGCTGTACCTAAGGATTCCAGAACTATATTGAATAGGAGTGGTGATAGAGGGTATCCTTGTCTTGTACCAGATCTAAGAGTAAAAGATTTCAGTTTTTCCCCATTTATTCTTTTTGTTTTTTTTTTTCCAGAACCAGGTATTGAATACAGACCCTTGCGCTTGCCAGGGAAGTGCTTATTCCACTGAGCCATCTCCCCAGTCCTTAGTTTTTCCCCACTTAGAATCATGTTAGCCGTTGGATTTTCATAAATGGCTTTTACCAGATTGAAGTAGAGGCCATCTATTCCAATTTTCTGTAGGACTTTGAACATGAATGAGTGTTGGACTTTGTCAAAAGCCT